GCACACCTTACATTAAGGCTCACTCTTGGTCTTGGACACTCATTCTGCGGGTTTGGACGAATGCATGTCATGTACCCACCATTACGGGGTAGAGAACGGTGTCAACGCCCTCAAATTTCTCTGTGCCTCACCCATGCGCCGCTCCGCCTTCCCCACCCCGGATCGCCTGGCGGCCACACATCGTCATTTACTGTCTCCATAGTTCTGCCTCTTCCAGGAGTCACAGCACGTGGCCTTTCCCGACCGGCTTCTTTCACTTAGTGATACGCATCTCAGCTTCCTCCATGGATTGCCGTGGCTTGACAGCTCACTTCTTGTTAGTGCTGAACGACATCCCATTGTCTGCAGGGCCCACGGTTTATGTATCCATCACCTGCGAAGGACACTGATCGCTTACAGGTTTTGGCGATTATGAATAAACCTACTCTGAACACCTGAGTGTGGGATTTTTCGTGAACATTATCTTCAAAACCTTTGGGTAAACACGAAAGAGCACGACTGCTGGGTCGTATGTATGGGAGGCGTGTTCCGCCAAACCGTCGTGGGCAGTGGCCGCCCGCAGTGGGCGCTGAGCGCGCGCTCCTGGGCTCCGCACCCGCCAGCACGTGGGGTCGCGAGAGCTCCAGACTCGGGCCTTTCTAACGGGCGCGTGGTGGTGTCTCCCTCTTTTCAATTTGCATTTCCCTGACGACACATGACATACGGCATCCTTCCATGAGCTTACTTCCCATCTGTACGTCTTCTCCGATGAACTATTTGTTCAGGTCTTTGCCCATTTTTTAATTTGGATTGTTTGCCTGTGGTTGAATTTTAACTTTGTATATTTTGGGTACCAGTTCTTTATCAAATACGTTTTGCAATATATTTTAATATAAATGAAAGAAACGCACAGATGCTTCACTCACATATTTGTTGGGCTGTCACTTAAAATCATGTCCTCTGCCATCTGTGGTATATGTACAACATTTGGGGAAGTATTACCTAAATCTTCCGATTAAGGGGAAACGGCAATAACAGATGCATTTCTGCGTGCCTAGAATTAAAGCAAAATAACCAGAATAGTGTCCATGGAGGCTCGCTTCCCACAGGTTGCAGCCCTGCTCAGACATCTGTTTCAAAACCAGGGGACTCTTCTGACCCATGGTGCCTGCGGCGTAACATACACAACGTCTGTTCCATACGACGTGGCTTGGGGATGCACCGACATGCAGATTTAAATTTGTTTCACAATATTTGATACCTGTTTTAGTCTCTTCAGACTCCTATAATAAAGTAGCACAGTCCGAGTGGCTTATACACCACAGAAACTGATTGCTCACCATTCTGGAGGCTGGAAGTCCAAGACCAAGGAGCCGGCATGATCGGGTTCTGATGAGAGCTCTCCTCTGAGGCACAGACGCGGTCTTCTCGCTGTGTCCCCTCGTGGTGGAAGGGGCCAGGGAGCTCTCTGGGGTCTCTTTTCTAAAGCACCGATGCCATTCACGAGGGTTCCACCTTCATGACCTAATCACCCCCAAAGGCCCCAGCTCCTAACACCATCACCCTGGGGGCTGGGTTTCCACACTTAAATTGGGGAGGGCGGGGTGACACAAACATTCACTCCATGACAATACCTTCACACAACAGCTGCTCTCACAGAGGTAGGTCTTCGTAGTAGAATCGTTTCAGACATGATTCCTATACCGAAGGTGATTTGGGTTTTTTTGTTTTTTTTTTGGAAAAAAAAATTTTTAATGTTTATTTATTTTGAGAAAGAGGGAGGGAGATCAAACAGGGGAGGGCAGGGAGACAGAATCCCAAGCAGGCTCTGTGCCCGATGTGGGGCTCAAACCCACGAACCTGGAGATCATGACCTGAGCTGAAATCAAGAGTCAGACGCTCAATCAATCGACCAAGCCACCCAGGCACCCCTACCAAAGAAAGGTGAGTTTTAGCTTGAAATGATGTACAGCAAACGCCATGTAACTTTCTGTTGCATTCCAGATCTCTCCAAGAGATATTCTGAATAAGGACACCACAGAAAGAGAATGGAGAGAAGGCAGGAGGCAAGTTCTGACGGCAAACGATCATGCACGATGTTAGGTCTCTTAACTTCTCGGAGGCTCAGTTTCTTTTTTTTTTTAATTTTTTTTTTTTTTTTAACGTTTATTTATTTTTGGGACAGAGAGAGACAGAGCATGAATGGGGGAGGGGCAGAGAGAGAGGGAGACACAGAATCTGAAACAGGCTCCAGGCTCTGAGCCATCAGCCCAGAGCCCGACGCGGGGCTCGAACTCACGGACCGCGAGATCGTGACCTGGCTGAAGTTGGACGCTCAACCGACTGCGCCACCCAGGCGCCCCGAGGCTCAGTTTCTTAACCTAAAGTAAGCGATGGCTAATGTTCTCTCTAAATCTGACACTTTTATGATTCAATGATTTTTGGAGCTCACCTTTAAGACACAGGAAATTGCTACATAAAAAACTGCAGAAGTGGCAGGGCTTGTGTGACATTTAGCCACAAGAGGAAGGAAACGCAGCTTGCATCTTACCCCAGCTGAGACCTGAAACCAACAGCACAGTTGTAGCAGAAAATCCCAGGCCCATCTGAGCTCGTCGTGACGAGTGCGTGATGAACACCACGTGCGTGGAGCCACACGTGTAGCAACGGAAGTACAGATAAAACCTCCAAAGACCATTTCAGTCTAAAATGAGACAACTGCCATCATTCCAGGACGAAGAACACCAACGGCCCAAGCCTGATCTGACAGCCCAAGGCTGATCTCAGGAGCCGGACCCACCAGCCCTGGGCACCGGGGGAGCCGATGGGCTGAAGAATCCCCCTGACCTTGTGTCTTGTCTGTGGAACAAGGGGGGTGTTCGTGCCTCCCTCCGAGGTCGTCACGAATTGTAAACAGCGTGTGCAGAGTACCTGCAGCAGCGCAGCGGCCTTCAGTAGAGGCCAGCCTCTGCCGCGCAGCCACGCCCGCTTTCTAGCACCAGGCCCTGTGGCACCACGCTGGCCGCGGCGCTGACTTCCTGGGCCTTTCCCCCCTCCTCCAGAGGCCCGTGCTCTCAGCTCTCCAGATGCCCGCACCCAGTGCGTCAGTCGGTGACTGACGATTTCCCCGGAGCAAAAGGAGAAAGTCAGAAAATTAGGTGAGGCACGGGATATTTCATAGTGGTTGAAATTTCAATTAGGACCCAAAACGGATAGTGACAGAACTGCTCTCGATCCATGAAGCACGAAGGAACTCCTTCTCACTCCCTCACTTTCTATATGATGAGAATGCTGGCAGCAGAGGGGCCTTCACCTGCTTCGACCCAAAGCAGGGCTGTGACAAAGGCTTATGTGCAGGTGCTGTATTTGGGAGTGACTCCAGGGAACAGAACGAGGGAAGGAAGGCCAGTGCAACGTATTCTCTAGTTGCGGCCACCACGGACCCTCTGGGGGCCTCCTGAGGAGCATTATGGGATGTATCCCAGGCCCACCTGCCCGGCTGACAGAAAGAGAGGTCAGGGGGCCGTGGCCACCCTTATACTTCGGGGTGGCTCTTGACCAAGTAGAGCTTGGCATAAACTGTGCCTTGACACAGACACAGCACGGTTCTTCTGCTGAGCACGGTCGTCTGACGTGGGCCTTCGAGCCCAGAAATAGAAGTAAAATCCCCCAACAACAACAAAAGGGGGCCCCGAGCGTCCAGCAGCCGCTGGCCTAACGCTCGGGTTTCTCACGCTAGGAAAGCTGCATTATTTCCCTGCCCCGGCAATCACATGGAAGACGAGAGGGGGCAGGGCGGGCAGGCCCAGGCACCGACTGCAGACGGGAGACAAGGCAGCTGAAGAAGGCGGCAGGGGCCTGATGACTCAGGGGCCGCCGGGGCCGCTCTGTGCTTCAGAAACAGCGCCAGGAAGAGACTGGCCAACGCTGGCTCAGCGCTCAGGACGCACTGCGTATGTGCCCAGGGGCTCGGCCACTTCCTAGGTCTGTGTGCTAGCGGGCAGCCTGCGTGGCCACGCTCAGACCCTGTTTGTTCAGTGGGAAATCGAGGGCGGGTGTCTGGATTCATGCAATCAGGGTAACTAACCGATCACCTGTGGGAGACGCTCACAAGGTCTGCACCATAGAAAGCAGACAATACGTGTGTTCCCACCCATCTCAGCAAGCTGTGGCCTGCAGGCACAAGTCCTGGTTCCACACCATCCTAGAAGCCCACGTGTCCCTGAGTCACCACCGGGCTGGGACCAGGTGAGCCTGAGACACGCCCCCCCGCCCCGCCCTCCACAGGGGCCTCCTCTGGGCTCTGACAGGCTGGGGAGTCCCGGACACATACAGGGGCTGCAGGTTCCCCGACTGTGCTCCACGGACACGGGGAGCGTGCGGGGGCGGGGGGGAGGGGGCGGCGGCAGCCAAGGAGAGTCTAGGTCTGAACCACGGGAACGACGCACACCTTGCTCTGGGATTCCTCCTTGGCAGTGTTCCCACCCCGCGCTCCAGCCTCGCAGTACGCTGGCGTCGGGTGGAGAACAGACAGGAAAGAACCAAGTAGGATCACGTAGGCACATCAGAAATAAAGATCTGTGTGAATAAGGTGGCATTTCTGTTCACGGCTGCGCTGGAGAGAAGCGTCCGTCCGACTTTGGCTCAGGTCACGATCTCACGGTTTGTGGGTTTGAGCCCCGTGTCGTCTCGGGCTCTGTGCTGACAGCTCGGAGCTTGGGGCCTGCTTCAGATTCTGTGTCTCCCTCTCTTTCTCTCCCCTCCCCTGCTTGCTCTGTCTCTCAAAAATAGACATTAAAAAAATTTTTTTTAATGTCATCTCAAACATGTCACGTAAATGGGATCATCGATCGCCAGGAACCACCAGAAGCTGACGGAGACAAGGAAGGATCCTTCCCCTAGAGCTCAGTCCTGCCTTGACTTCAGACTCCTGGCCCCCAGACTGAGGGAACAGGTCCCCGTATGGCAGCCCCAGAGAACAAACACAACAGAGAGAAACTGCAAACGCGCACCCGCAGATGTACATGGGAATGTCGTATTCATTCTTGAACAGTGGCTCTGCTCCTGGGAGAAAAAACCAGGAGACATTTCACATAGCCATCGAGAGGAACGTGATTAGTATATTATAATATAAGCAGAAAACACAAACAGTCAAAGTGGAGAAATTACAGGAACATACAACAGCATGTAAAGTAAGTTTCAAAGACGACATACCACAGGCCACTATTTTGCAAAGTTAAAAATCAACTAGAAATCTACCTTCTGGAATATATGCACACATGTAACATGACATGATGCACACAAGGGAGAGAAGAGCCAGGGTCCCCTCAGCCAGGACGAGCGGGCACGTGGGCTAACACAGTTATTGGCGAGGATCTGGCCTTCGCGCTGCGCCTTGTGCTCACGGGCGCTTACCTCGTTGCTACAAAGACGCAAACTTAAAAACACACGCACGCACAGGCTAACCGTGGCGATTTTTCATGAACCCAGGATACTGATTATTTCAACTTGGTGCACACGGATCCAGTAAGTAAGAAAAAATGAACGTGGCCAAGTCCTCTCACTGTGGGAGGAAGGGGGGAGCCAGAACAGCCAGCAGTCTCTGCCGGGTCCCTGTCACCCAACACTTGGGTTATTTCTGCCTTCATCTCGTGGAGCGCATGCTGCTGGGGTGACGCCGCGTACTCACCCCCGCGTCCCCCTCAGGGTCGACTGCGTGCACAGATGTGACGGGGCTGGAGCCAAGCCCGTCTGAACAGCGCCGCCCACTCGTGTTCCCGCCAGGAGCACACGCGGGCCGCCTCCCAGACCTTCGGTAGCTGGGCGTTACGGTGTAGGGGAAGCCTGCTGTCTGTAGAGCCCGCCAAGGTGCAGAACACAACACAGTTTTTGCACGTTTCTTTAGCAGTTTGTGAATCAGGGTATTTTCCATTCGTTCACCGGCCTTTTGAACTCTTTCTTTTGCGAATACTTGTTCAGATCTTAATCTACTTTTCTTTTGGAGCAGAGTTACTGGGCTGCCTTTCCTTAGCGGTCTGTAAGAGTATTTTATGTACTGATCACCAAAAACACTGCTGTAGATACTAATTAGCAATTCATTCGAACTTCATTGCCTCCCACGGGTAAACTGGGTACAACATCTCTAACCCGCGAAGATGCTGGGCCCCGCTTCCTCTATTCACTGCTGGTCCAGAAACACTCGTGTGTCTCCGGCATGCTCCCAGGGCAGCAGGGCACACACGGGGGGGGCGGCGGGGGGGGGGGGTTGGGGACAGGAGCCTCTGGACAAGTGTCTCTTCTCGCTCCACCCTGCTCCTCGCCCATCTTCTCCACTGTACAAAGAGCATGAAGACTTCTGCAGGGATCAACAAGCCACGCATTATGCTTTAAGAATTATTTGACATTTCAATTGCCCTCAAGTGTGAATGAGCTCTATTGTGCACAGGGTCAAATTCGTCACGAGCTCTCAGGCTGTCCTGGTTAGAAGCCTGTTCTCCATTTTCGTCGACATATCACAACCAGTTTCCTCTTGGAGACTGAAGACAACGGTCCAGTGTTACACCCAGAAAAAACCTATTTGTGCACAGTGCCCACATGGATGAATCACTCACCCTCCTTAAGTCAGACTCTGTGCAGATGTAACGATCCCTCAGAGGTGTCCTTCCCGAACGGTTTCCCTGCAGTCTCCGTTAATCATCAGCGGGAGGCCCGGTGCCGCAGAGGAAATGGGTGGACACGTGCAGCACAAAACAGAGCAGGAGAGAAAGGAAAAGTTCAGAAGCACAGGCGAAAATCTCTCACCCTCTGTGGGTCAGCAGGTGACCCTTTCAGAAGAGACAGCCATATATTTTCATTTCTTCCCAAATCACTTCATAACATCCTATGCGAGAGACACTTGGTTAAATCATTTGTTATTTTTCAAGTAAAACCAAGGTATGTTTGTAACCAGGGGAGGGATTCCCAACTATTGGTGCGACGAAGGTGGGGACCTCGCCCCGAACGTGCCCTGCGAGGAAGCCTGTGCGCAGGCCGCACGGGACGTGACCGCCTGCCGCTTGTGCCTCCCACCCTGTTGGTGTCCAAATGCACTCTTCATGTCACCTTCTTGTTTCCACCAACTCACGCAGCAAGAGTAAAGAAGGGTTGTCTGCATGACGCTAACCCAGCCCTGAGTGTCCAGAGCTCTCCGGGGCAGACACCGAGGTGCTGGCAGGGGTGGTGGGAGGGGCTCCATCCGGGGCATCCCCCGACAAGGGCAGGGGGACACAGGGGACACAGAGAGGGGCAGTTCTCCAGAACTCTCCAAATCCACCCCCCAAAGGCAAGCCAAGGGCAGAGCAGTCCAGCCAGGGTTCCCTGGCCGTATCTGCTCCGCCCGGAACACACTGGAGGAACTAGGCTCCAGCCGTGACCCAAGGTCCCCAGCCTCACCCACTTGCCTTTCTCCAATTTATAGGACGCGCTGACCTTCCAGACGTACTTCTGAGGAATGCCTAGCTCTCTGCTGCCGCTACAAAGGTCACATGTCCTGGCACCCACGCGCCTCGGCACCCGCCCAGTCCCAGATGCATCTGTATATTTGCTCTTATCCTCTAAGCAAGGTTACGCAGGCGCGGAGAGGACCAGAAACTGGCAGTGCGCCACGATCACTTCACTGACCTGCAGCATCTTCCCCAGCGGGGTCCTGGCACTTGCCTGTTTCTTCCTTCTTTTGTAAGACCCCCGGGTTCTGGGCGCGGCGTCCATCCAGGGGCTCAGAGTAAACGCCTGCTCCTCTGGCTTCCGGGTCTGCCAGCGTGTGGCAGTGCTGTTAACACGTGTGCCGTGGGGATACTCTGCCCCGTGTCCGCAGATTCAGGTAGAGGCTCACGCCCCCCTATAACCTCAGACTCAGCCACCCCGTGTGCCCCCAGTGCCCGTCACCAGACCCTGCGGTGGCCTGTTCTATTTTGCCTACGCCCTACATGATATGCCTCCCACTGGACCCTGTCCCTGTGCTGGTGGGGGGTCCGTGAGTGGCAGAAGGGCCGTGGGCCCATGTGTGTTTGATACACGGACGCCAGGACAACGGGGGGACCTCTGCACGGGTGGCCCCTGGTGATGCTGCATCATCACAGGACACAGGACAGAGGAGCCTTTGTTACAGGGATGCTCATCGGCCCCTAGGAACTGCAGACGGAAATGAAGGAGAAAATACACCTGCCACTTCCTTTGGCTGTTAGCAGCATCGACTGATGGGCGGATCATACACAATTTAGAACCAACTGGAAAGAAATGTAAGCATAATAACAATTAGGTATCTTTCACGAATTCTTAACTCTGAAAATCAATTCCACCTACTTCCTGGTACCTAAGGCTTGAGGGCGGGTCCACACTTACTCAGCTCAGAGCCCTCAGAGAGGCGGGGGTCGGGAGAGAGCGCGGCTCCAGCTCTCGCTGGGAACCTGTGCCCTCCCCTGGCCAGCTGTGGTCTGTTCGCTCATTCACCCCTGCACACGTTTACCGAGTGCCTCCTGGCGCCCGCAGGGCTCCAGACGCTGGGCTACATCAGCGAGCAAGCAGGCAGGACCCTGCCACCCAGCCGCTTTCCTTCTGTCGGGGGAGACCCAGCAGAAGCGAGACTGAGCGGGGACAAGGGAGCAAGGAGAGCCGGGAGCCTCCGGAAGCCACCCTGCTCAGAGGCGCTCCCCACGGCTGCCCGGCCCTGTGCGGCCTGGAGGAGTTAGGGGTGCGGGGCCCGCGAAGGGCTGGGCTCAGGGCAGACAGACACAGGCACTTTGCGGGTATTTGGGGCGGAGGGCGGTAGGGCTCACAGGACGTGGTGATGGACTGAGTGCGGGGGGCGGGGGGGAGCGGCGTGACGAACGTTGAAATCTGACATCACACTGGTGTGTCCGTGAAAGCGAAGTGGAAACATCCCTGGAACTCACACGGCTTGGCCCGTGACGGTGTTGTCTCTCCTACAACAGAAGTCTGCTCTTTTTCACAGAAAATAACTTCAGTGAACAGGTCACAACGAGGTCCCGCAGACAGCGAGCACCCCAATTATAGAACTTCAGAGTCGCCAAGAGCCGTGGAGATGTTCCGCCCCCCCCCCCCCCCCCGCTGTAGATGAGGCAACAGATCCAGGGCAGGTGGCTTTCCCAGGACACGCGGCCGCTCAAGGGACAGGCTGACGAGCCGTGACCCGCCCCTCCACTTAGGTCTCCGGTGGGTGCTAGGGGGTGTCAATCCGCACCACTCCATTCCGCCCTCGCTCTGCCTCCTTCACCTTCACCCCTGGGGGAAGCGGACACTTCTTGGTCCCCTGCCTCTGACCGCGACACCTGCACCTGTAGCCCCATCAGAGGTGACCCGACTCCCTGCCCACCGCACCTGGGCTCGGACGCCGGCTCCATCACTTCCCGGGGTGACCTTGAGCGAGCCGCCAACGTTGTGTTTTCCGTGATCCCATCTAACAGACAGGAGGGGGTGAGGGTCTGGACTGGGGATTAAACGAGCTCGTCCCGGCCTTAACCCTTGTCCTTCCCACAACAGCCCGAACCCCCAGGTCCAGCCGGACTCCCCAGCTCACACCCGAGGAACGGTGGGAGTGGTGGCAGACCCTCCTCCCCCGCTCTCCTCGTTCTCGCTCGGGCACCTCACGCCGTGAAGGGCATCAGGGCCCGGGTGCCCGCCTGCGACATTCCTCCACAGTCCGTGTCCAGATGCAGCACAATTTTAAGTCAGTTTAACTAGGAGTCAGGTAACGGAGCTCCGTACAAGGGAAAAACAGCAACGGGGTAGGCACGCAAACATGCCCGTGTATGTGTGCACATGTGTGCGTGTGCTCGTGTGTGCGTGCACCCGTGGGGTGGTGAAAGACGGGACGTGGGGGTGCGTGATGCGATGCTTTTGGGAAACGCCACTATTTTCTCTTTCCCTAAAGGGCAGCATTTTAAGAATCAAAAAAATGGAGGAGGAAATAATGAAAGAAATAACACCAGAAAAGTCCCCCAAATTGAAGGCCACGAGGTCCAGATTGAAAGAACCCAACGTGGGGCGCCTGGGTGGCGCAGTCGGTTAAGCGTCCGACTTCAGCCAGGTCACGATCTCGCGGTCCGTGAGTTCGAGCCCCGCGTTGGGCTCTGGGCTGATGGCTCAGAGCCTGGAGCCTGTTTCCGATTCTGTGTCTCCCTCTCTCTCTGCCCCTCCCCCGTTCATGCTCTGTCTCTCTCTGTCCCAAAAATAAAAATAAAAAAAAACGTTGAAAGAACCCAACGAATGACTTACATCAAGGACATCACCATGCAATTTAAGAACGGTGGTGATAAAGGCAGGATCCAGGATTTCCCGAGAGGAAAGAGAAAGGAAAAAAACACGAGTCACTTTTTAAAAGTTCGGAAATCAAGATGGCGTTGAATTTCCCCAAGACAAGAATGGACCGATGTCCTCAAAATTCTGAAGAGAAACCATTCACATCTAGTGTTGGATCTCTGAGGGAACTGTTGTTAGGCACGACACAACAAAGACACATTTGAACACGCCGGGCTCCTGGTGACTTCAAGTCTCCCAAAGATCTTCTCCGGCAAAATGGAAGAACAAACAGTCAAAATTATGGGAAGAAGAAAGAAAAACTAATTGCGAAAAGGGACGATGTTAAGAAATAGTGGGATAAATATCAGAAGCAAAGGCTAACTGACACACTTTTCTCACACACCAACTCACTCTCGTATACACACATTCTCACACATGCCTTCTGACATTCACTCACACGTGTTCTCTCTCACTCACAACCTCACAACCACTGACTCACACACTCTCCCACATACACTCTCACACACAATCCCTTACACGATTCTCTCACACATTTGTTCACATACACTCTCATACGCGTTCTCTCACACCTTTTACGCACATCTCCTTACAGACTCACACATATTTTCACGCTCTCACACACATTTGCTCTCACGCACAATTATGACCACTCTCTCACACACACACCTGTCCACACATACTCTCTCTCACATTCTTGTGCTTTCACATGCACTCTAACAACTTTCTTTCAAATACACTCTCACATTTTCACATTCTCTTCTATAATCACACACACGCACCCTCACACAATATTCTCACATCCTCACACTTATACTCACATACTCTTTCACACGTTCTCTCACATATTTCAACATACTTACCCTTAATTCTCACATTCACAACTCCTACAAGCATTTTCACACAGGCAACCACACACCTTCTGGTACACACTCTCAAATTCCTTCACACGCACCCTCTAACACATATTCTCTCACAACTCTCCTACATTCTCATTCACTTTTGCACACACAACCCCACTCACAGCCTATTTCACACACATTACCACACACACACTCTCAAACACATAGTATCTCACATTTTCTCATCTTCTCAAATACATACCCTTACATAATTCTCACAATTCTCTCACATTCAACACACAACTGTCTCACGCATATTCTCTCACATGCACAATACACATCATGTCACACACACACCATCACAGTCTCTCATACGTACTTTCTCACAAATATTTTCACCCATTCTCACATATATGTTATCGCACATATATATTCTCTTCTACTACTCTCATAGTCTCTCACACAGTCTCACAATTCCCTTTCATGCAGATGCTCTCACATGCATTTTCAGTCACACACACAGTCTCTCATATATTCTATCACACACACATTCTCTGTCTCACATTCTTACATTTTTTGCACTTTTACACACATTCTCACATTTAATTTCACACCTGTTTTCTAACAAACTCACATTTTTGCACACACATTCTCACATTCTTTTCCATTCTTGCACACACACTCACCTCACACTCACCTTTTCACATACGTTACCACACACAGTCTCTCACACATTTTCTCACATCCACATTATCTCACACACATGCACACAAAGTATCTCACATTTTTTCACATTCTTACAAACTCTTACATAATCCTCTCTCTCGCACATTCAACACATAATTCTGTCTCACACACATTCTCCCACAGGCACCCTCACAATCATTCTCTCACACGCACAATACACATGATCTCTCCCGCACACACCCTCAGTCTCTCATACACACATTTTCTCACATATTTCCACTTACACATCCTGTCAGATACATGCCATTGCACACACACATTCTCTTATACAACTTTCTTTCCCACACTCTCACAATTCCATTTTACACAGCTCCCACACACTTTCACACCCTCTCACATACCTACACGTGTACATACTCTTTTATACAGTCTCTCACACATTTAATTTCACACACATTTTCTAACAGACTCTCACATTCTCTCTCTCTCTCTCTCTCACACACACACACACACACACACGAACTCTCTCTCACACATACATTCTTTCTCTTTCATCTTATCCCAGATTCTCCTCTATCTGCAATTTTAGGGATACCACAGCTCTTCAGTTCAATGTTACATTTCCTGGCACATACTCAAGTAAAAGAGACTGTCCCAAATCCAGGCCGTGAAGACTATATTTGGTCCTTCTTGGGCCAGGGGCCCAGTCCTGACCCAATCACCTGCCATCTGAGAGCTGTGGTTAATTTTAATAAACAGGGGTCCGTGAGTGAGGAGGCTGAGAAAAAAAGGTTGCTGAGAAACAAGCAGACTCTACCATAAAGCTGCACGCTGGCGTCACCGAACACGTACTGGAGCTCTGATTACATGTGAGACACAGGATGGGACCTGTGCACACTCTGTTCTATCCTCAAGAGACGGACAGTCTATTTGGCAAGACACAGAATAGGATAATTCAAAAATTCAAAAAACAAGGTAGCAAAAATTTCAGTTTGGGGTTAACAAGAGTCCTAGAGGTGGGCGGTGGGGACGGTTGCACATTAACGTGAACGGGATGCCCCGAACCATACACTTGAAAGCGGTTGCCATAACTTCTGTGTATATCTCACCATCACTGTCATCATCACCAACAACACAGCTACAAAAACGGGAGTGGGTGCCGCAGCCAAAAGCGCTACTGGCGTTTCAAGGCCGAAGCGACCAGCCAGGGTTTGGACGGGGCCGGCCTCTTGCTCCATTGCCAGTATGAGAATTAACACCTGGCCTGTTTCCTGAGATGCCGAGAGTCACGTCCAGAAAAGCGAACATGTGAAGATACCGCGTGGAGCAGAAGACCCGTGGCTCATGCCGTGAAGCTTCTAGAAACTGAATGCAGCTGTCAGCACCGTGTGGTCCTTCAAGGCGTCAGCAGTTGGCTCGGCTCCTGCTATGCCAAGCCCAACTCACCTCACCAGGCTGGGTCACGATCGGGGGGCCCCGACCAAGGCAGAGCCCTGGAGCGCCTTTCCTGTAACGAGTGGTCTCTAGAGCAGTTTCTAGAAGGTCTCTTGTTGCTGCCAGCCTGACCCTGGCCAGCCTGCAGCTCCTCCCGGGCCCTCCCAGCACCAGCTGTAGGCCGCCAGAGTCCTGCTAGGTCATCCAGACCCTGGACACTGAGGCTGCCTAGGGTTTCTGGCCAGTACTCTGGGTCCCTTATGCGGAGAGCCCTTGCTGGGTGCAGACAGCACCTCACGGTCCCCTGCTCCACAGAAGACTTCCAGCGGCAGGGAGGAGAGGGACCCTGTAGAGAAGCAGCCCCTCACCACCCCCACCCCGAAAGAGGGCAAAGGGCAAAGAAAGAAATAGCTGGGGACACTAGTAAAATCTCATCGGGTCCACACCTTTGACCATCATTCCCTAATCCCCTCTGACAGACAGACAGGATTCCATCTCCTTGATCACGGAAGTAAAGATACTCGCTCCCCTCCACTCCCCTCCACCACCACAGCACAAGGCACGCCCCAAGGGGACCTGGGGGTGTGTTTCACACACCGTGTGGCTCTCTCTCACAGCAAGGCGCTCTCTCTGGAGTAACACTTGACAATTACCACTAAATGCAATGCTTCAAGATGGAAAACATTTCTTTTCATAGGAATGCCTAAAATCTACCTCAAGGACAAGAAGAAAGAAATAAAAGAAAAGATCATACCAGAACTTCAGAAGTACTTCGAGCAGAGCTTTTCTGGAGTCAAGGTAGAGCCGCATCCTATCGAGACTGACGGCTTCATTTTGAGGAATACGAAGGAAGAAACCAGGCCAGAAACGAAGCAAGAGGTTCTAATTCACCTCCTTTCACGTGAAACACCTTATTCCACAAAGCACAACAGTAAGAGTAAATCCACATCACCTCTGGCAGGAGCGCTGCCGGGAAATCTATGGAAGCTGCCCCGGCAATTTCCAGATAAACTCTCATTAAAAATCTCGATCGGTGCACGATTAAAACGGGCCGCTCAGGAAAATCTGGCATAGGGCCTTCTGGAGGATTTAAAGGGCTGCGCAGAAGACATTCTTTTGATTCCACAGCTTTAAAAAGTAGGATTAGAACAATTCCATCATTTCCATCGCGCCTTCCTCTTACAAAACTATCTTAGAACTGAGAACTTACAGGACGTTTTCTGAAACGAAGGACACTTTTGTGGGGATTTTTAAGTGGCCATCACAACGGGTACGGTCAGTAGTGCACCAGAAAGATTCCCGAGTCTGTGGGCTGGACGGACCTGCCCGAGCACGGGAGCGAGCAGCACTCGCGGGACCGAGAGAGGACAGAACTTTCCTTCCGTCCTTGACTGTGGAGAAGCAACAGAGGTGATGCCGCAGAACAACCCCCATGGGGTAGAAGGGAGGTCAGAGAGCAAGGTCCGCTGAGGGTCCTGGAGGACAGAGGGGCCAGCTGGACCCTCCCACTGCCCGTTCTGCTGCTCTGAAAGGTCCCTTCCACACTGCGGTCTCCGTTGGATAACCCCCTTTCGCATGGCGTTGATTTTGTTCTTGATGCTTCTCTGTATTCTCCAAATGTTCTGTAATGAGAAACGTCTAATTTTTAATCAGAAAAAAAAAAAATCAACGAAACACGCAAGCAAACAGGAGACGTGCCAGGGGTCAACGAGCTGTCACTCTCCTTTCTCAAGTGTCCCCTCTTCTTGCCTATAACGTGACAGGAGGGTGGGAAGATCGCTGGTCCCTTCGTCCCGACCGTCTGTGGCTCCGGGTATAGCCTTCCTGTGTAGCACAGAGTGGTGGCGATTTCACCCAGGTCCTAAAGTTCCCTCTGGCTTCTGGAAGGCTCTGCTCCGCCTCCGCTTCTCTTAAGACCACGATTCCTCGGTGTTTCACACCCAACACAACGTGCAAGTCTGCGTCCCACGCCGTTCCCAGAGAACCGACAGACTGAAAAGCCATCTGCCGAGTCATGGTGAGGTAGCAAAGATGCTGATGACAGTATGACAGCCTGCCCGAGGAGACACTCGCGTTTTAAGAGGGAGGTCCGGGACATGCCCTACAGGAAGGGCCTCTAGCAGGATGCGTGCTCGCTGAGGGAGGTGCTTCCTGACCACGTGGACCGGCTGTTCTGAGCTCGAACATCATCACGCAGGAGCCCCTCGAGGTAGACTAGCTGCGTACAGACCTCTTGCTGAGCGTATCTTATGCTCTAAAAACATTTTCAATCCTAATTCCAAATTAGAAAAGGGAAATGAATGGGGCACCTGGGTGGCTCAGGTGGTTAAGCGCCCGACTTCGGCTCAGGCCATGATCTCACGGTCCGTGAGTTCGAGCCCCGCGTCAGGCTCTGTGCTGACCGCTCAGAGCCTGGAGCCTGTTTCAGATTCTGTGTCTCCCTCTCTCTCTCTGCTCCTCCCCGTTCATACTCTCTCTCTGTCTCAAAAATAAATAAACATTTAAAAAAAAAAGCACTTAAGAAAAGGGAAATGAAATTCTTTTATTATTTCTGAGGTTGTCACTTAATGTTCACACCAACCTAGAGAACAACACCTCACTTATTCAAAAGATTATAATCGTTTACGATTCTCTTGGAACCTTCTCCCCTCGCGACTACTTGTGCCCAACCCTCCCACCTCCTAACCTCACAGGCTCATCATGAGGCGTCCATATGTTAAGCTATTTTGAGTTGGCCCAGCCCTAGATCGGAGCCACATTAGTGACGGCATCAGTCCGAATGTCCTCAGAGGGGCCGCAGGCGGGCCGCTGCTGAGCTGTGCTGCATTGAAACATCTGGAAGAAAGCGGACCCGATTTCTGAGGGCTGCCGTGTGCCCAACCACAAAAGGACCTTCAGGCAGGCGGCCGGGTGACGAGAGGGACCACCTGCCCCGGGGCGCCCCCTAGAAGGCAGACCGCTGGTGTCCCGGGGAACAGACTACCTGTTGGCGGAGGTCTCCACGGCGTGTGGGGGAGGGGGGGGACCACGTGGGCCGCACACTTTAGCAAGCAGGGCCGTGCACTTGTTCAGGGGTTGGTTCGCATACGAACTTAAACCTTCTCCCAAATGCAGAAGAGGACCGCCTGTTTAAAACTGGGAACATTTACAACAAAATGGTATCTCCGAGTAAACTAGGTTAACAAAGGTTTCTAGTGTTCGTGCTGTCCGTGGTATTTCCAGATGGAGGAGAAATCCCATCTATGCAACCCTAAATTTTGAGTAAACCTACCACAGAGCATGATCCCACACGTGTGGTCCTGGGAGAGAGGGACATAGATGTCACCCCACGTCTGAACCCCCAGTCACAGCTCCCAACTGAGAGACGGGCCCACAGGTGCCCATGATGGAGAGATGTGCCCTCACCTGTCCCTGATGCAGGGTTGTGCCCGTAAGTGCCCCCGATGGAGGACTCTGTCTGCAGGGGACCCCCAGCCATCACACCCTCAGCCCGCCTCGCTACCGGGTCCCCTCCACCTCCGCTGGCACCAGGACCTCAGTACAGAAGGCTTGTTCACAGGACCCTTTTCAGGACCGTCTGTTACCTCTTAGGAGTTAAAACCCCCCGTCAACGTCCAGATCTGACGGGCTGAGTCCAACAAATCCCGAGAGCACTGCGCAGACGGCCTGGCTTTGCTGGGGCTCTCCCGCACCTCTGCCAGGCCAGGCGAGGCAACCCACGGACCGACGCGGGGACAGGCCCCCGGGACTGTTCACTACCAACCACAGCGACACACTGGGAGAGCCTGCCGGCCACACCCCCCACACAGGTGCACTTCATGAAGACACGGGAGCACCGGCTCAATTCGGGTGAAAATCTGGGCTAGAAACCACGACGAAGGGGCCGCCATGCCTCTTGACTCAGAGGCCACTGTGTGGGCCAGGGCGTCACCCTCACCCAGGCGGGCTGGAGGCCCAGGACAGGCCTCCGGACAGGCCGGGGATCCGCGATTTTAATTCTGCTCTCAGATCAGTCATGGCCCAGACTCAAAGTGGCCGCAGCCATACCAGAGACCTCGCCTCGAGCCGTAAACACTGTCTGTGCCACACGTCCGGGTCCAACCCAATGCTGGGCTGCCCAGCCGGGGCGCACAGAAACGCTGCTGCGGACAGATCCGTGATGGGGAAACTTCCAGAAGCAGGGTTCCAGAGCACGCCAGCCACGAGGGGCCTCCTTCTGGGGTGCAGAAGCGGTCGTGTGTGTGTGTTTATGCAGAACGGTGCCCATTGTAGGGAGCTCCTTTCTAATGCTTCCGGCTTCTGTAATCCACTCGATGTTTCCTTACTACAATTCCATACACTTCGCTGAAGAAAAGTCACGTGAGCAGAAGGGAAGAAACGAGTAACCCTGGCACCTCAGTGCTCATAAATGGATGTCCAGGGCTCTGGACAGGGCTGTGCGCACAGCTGAGTATGAGGCGACTTTTAAAATTCAGGCCTTACGGCTGCACTGTCACCACATGCTTGTCCACCCGCTACTTGATTGTGACTAGTTTGCCAGGTTTCCCCAAATTTTTCTAAACTACCAGGAATTTAAAGACAAAATAAACGAATCATCACCACCCTTAGCTACCTGAAAAATGTTCCAAATGGAAGTGCGAAGACTTCTAATCTTTCTAGTAGCTTCCTTGTACTTTTCAAGCGGGTGCCAGCTATCCTAGATCCAAGTGTGAAGGGGAGAGTCAGCTAGTGATGGTTATGTCTGGTCCACACGTGATGGTCACATCTGGTCTACACGGCTCACCCGGCTTGAGGGAGGACACATTCCTCAGAAGATGGTGTCCACTTCCGCTCTGTCTCCAGCACCTTGTCCGGCCCTTCCTACTGGCCAGGCCCGGGAGGTACTTTTACTCGCTGTGCATGCGCTCTGCTGTCCCACTTACCCGTCTAACTGGGTAGGCTCACTACGTCTCCGGTGTGACCGTGTCCTTTCTCCAAATGACGTACTCGACTTTCCTCCTCATTCTGAGGTCCTCTCTGTCGAAACGCAGCGAGAGGAGCTGAACGTCACGGCCACTCACCGCATTCTGCCTACTTCCCGGGACAGGCAGAGGTCAAAGACAGCAGCTGGATGTGCGGACCCTCGGCCAACTATGCCCTCAGTGAGTGAGCAAGTCAGGTGCGTGGAAAACAGATCCTTCGTCTCAACCAGAGGATTTGTTCAGCAGCTCAGGGCTCTCGCCCTCTCCCTGGGATCCTGGGCCTCCACTGGGGGAGCATCTGTGAACTACAGGAAGACAAAGAAGACGTGACGACCCAAAACATACTTGTAATGTATTGTTTTTTTTTTTTTTTTTAATGTTGCTTTTTAACAACTTCTAACCCATGTTTGCATTTTGGGCTGAGGAAACAGAACTACGTTTAAAAGCAACCGAGATGATGTGTGTTTTAGGGTTCTCTAGAAAAACAGAACCAACAGGTAGTGTATGTATACAGATAGTGATTTTAAGGAAATAGCTCACATGACTGTGAGGTTTGGGAAGTACAAAATCTGCGGTAGGACGGCAGGCTGGAGACCCAGCAAGAGTTGATGCTGCAGGCTGAGTCCAACTGCTGGCAGAATTTCTTTTCAGAGGCCCAGTCTTTTCCCATTTAGGCCTTCAACTGATTAGGTAAGGCCCACCACACAATGCAGGGAAATCTGCTTTACTCAAAGTCTATCAAATGTTAAACGACTTAAATGTTAATCTTATCTGAGAAACACCATCACAGAACATTCAGAATAATATTTAGGCCACAGATATTTGGGCCACAACCCAACCAGGTTACCACATCAAATTACCGCTCACAATATGCTTCAGATTATTTTGGGGTACAACTTGTGTGACTTCCAAAAAGTGTCCTCAAAACACGGCACTTCCAGGGACATTAAACTAAGTCCTCACCTCACACCGCCCTTTCTCTAGCAGGACCCGGGAGCACGGTCTCTATTTCACCTCCTGCAGCCCTTCCAGGGGGAGCCAGCTCTCACCCTCCTGGCTCTGCTTGCCCTCACCATGCATTCCATCTCTCTTCTCTGCCTGTCTCCCCTGGGCCTTGGGGCATGTTTTTGCGATGCACTTCAAGCCCCCCACTCCTGGAACCCCCGAAGCCTCACCTCTGGGCAGCCCACCTTCGCCATCTTTGGCAAGACAAAGTTATCGTGCTTTTAAAATCTCTCTCAGGGTGCCTGGGTGGCTCAGTTAGTTGAGCGTCTGACTTCGGCTCAGGTCACGATCTCGCGGATCATGGGTTTGAGCCCCACATCGGGCTCTGTGCTGACAGCTCAGAGCCTGGAGCCTGCTTCGGATTCTGGGTCCCTCTCTCTCTGCCCCTCCCCACTCATGTTCTATCTCTCCTTCAAAAATAAGCATAAGACAAGACAGAATAGAATAGAATAGAATAGAATAGAATAGAATAGAATCAAAAAAAAACAAATCCAATCCAATCCAATCCAATCCAATCCAATCCAATAAAATCCCTCTCAAAATACGTGCCGCCCTGCTTTCTATTCCCACTGCTACTACCCATCTCCGGGCCCTCGGCATCGGATCGGGGTCTACACGGTGAAATGGCCTCTGATCTTCCATCCCTGCTCCAGCCTCCTCTGTTCAGGACAGGGCTGTTCTCTAAAACACAGACGCAATCTTGTCATTCTTCTGCTTAAGGGCTTTTGGTGATTTCTGGAGCCTTCTCCGCAATCTCTAAACCTCTCAGCCTCGTATCTGAAGCCACAACACCAGTCTTTTCTTGTAGATCCCACGCTTTTCTTCTATTTCCATTATGGGTTGAATTTTGTCTCCTGAGCCCCTCAGGAAAGATATGTTGGAGGCCTAACTCCCAGGACCTCAGAATGTGACCTTATTTGGACACAGGGTCTTTACAGGGGTGATCCGGTCTCAATAGGATCACTAGAGTGGGCCCTAATCCACATGACCGGTGCCTTTGCTAAAGGAGGAACTGTGGACACAGACATGAAGAAGGCAGAGGTCAGGGAGCCTAAGCCCAGGGTCACGGGAGACGGTCAGAAGCTGGGACACAGGCACGAAGCAGACGGCCTTTCACAAGTCCCGAAAACAGCCAACCTGCCGGCACCCTGACCCTGACTTCCAGCCCCGGCGCAGAGTGGGGGGGGGGGGGGGGGGGGCCGAGCCGCCCCAGCACTGAGACAACCCTTGCTTCTGGGCCACCTTTTCATTTCTCTCATGAGGTCACGGCTCCACGTGGGTGCTCGTTCACTTCCTCCCTGGACCTCTAGCAAACTTGTATTCTTCAGCCTCAGTTTCCCTTGCTGCCCCTTGCAGGAGAGACCGCCTGAGCTCCTTCCCCACCCCCATGTTCAAGTCAGCCCTCACCAATCCACAGGGAAGGACGGCTGCTCATCATGTGGGCCCGAACTCGGAGCATTCACGAGGCCGGGTTTGGGGGCAAAGAGGCTCGGCCGCGTCTCCCTCCCCCAAGTGGGAGAGTCAGCGGCCAGGAGCCCCTGGCCAGCCTCCTCTCCACGTGCGCCTGGAGCTGCGGGCCAATGCCTGTGGCGCCACGTGGCGACCTGGGACCCGGCAAGATGTCAGGATTTGGATACAGACCTGGGGAAGGTTGACTCCTCGGCTTCATCGGAGCGCCGCACGGGGCTGCCGCGTGCAGCTGAGGACACAGGTCATTCTGTAACTCTGCCAGACCAGAAGACACAGGGGGACGGGGACGGCCAGATTCGATCACTCCCGGGTTTTTGTCGGGACTGCTGTTAAACCCCCAGGCCCTCTACGGTCCCGGGCGTGCCTGTCCTCCCGGAACTTTTCACTCCTTTCCTCGCAGGCTCTACCACTTTGCACACGACTCTTCTGTAAGACGATCCGATTACCGTTTGGTCGTGTGTCTACTGGAGTCCTTACTTTTGCTTCTTTGGCCCTCCCCCAACACGCACTCCCCAAGGCTGGACTCGGAGCCCCGGGAAGACAGGGCTCATTCTGTGCCCATCCTGGTACCTGTGGACACGAGCTCCACGCCTGGCTAACTCGTGTCCTCACCGTGGGGCTCGGTGGCACGCGGCACACCGCAGAATCGAGCGGAACCACAGCAAGGTGAAAAGAGAAGAGTGAAAGAATGTGACCTGGATGGTCCTGAGCGGGTCGAGGGTGGAACTGGCAGGGCAGCGTCTCTCTGGGACGGAGCCCCGGGCCCCAGGTACAGCCTCCCCGTTGAACCTGGACGAGACACACAGAACAAGGGTTTTCGGTCCCTGGACGATAAGCATCACGGGGCAGAGATCTGTGCGCGAAGGTGGGTCCCACCACTGCCCTCGGCTCACTGCCTGAAGAGACAGGGTGGCCGCAGTGCCGGGAGGGAGAGCCCAAGCAGCGCCCAGCGGTCCTCCTGATGCCAAGTCGGGGAGACTGAGGCACAGAATTCCCAGGTCAGAGTGGCAGAGAGGACAGACACACACACGGGTGTGGAGGCCCCACCTCACGGTCTCAGAGGGGTACTGACGAGCACACGCAGGTGAGGCCCAGAAAGAACCACTGGAAAGGATGGAACGGAAGATTCCCAGAGCTCACCCGCAGTGGGGACTGGCTCATGTCCACAGTGCAGGGGGCACTGAGCCTACTCTGGGGCTACCATCCCGGAAGCGAGGCACCTTAGCCCTGAACCAGGCACTCTTTCCGTTCAGCCTAACGATGCTTCAAAGCAAGACCCAAAAGGATCAAACGTTTCCAAGTAATCTGTGACCCAGAATTAAGTTCAAAAATATTGGAAGGAACACCAAAAAACCCAGCACCCAGAATCCAAGTGTTTTTTTTTTTACTTCACTTTTTACTATTGAAATATCCCATTCACCCACACGTTCCTGCAAACTTCTCTCTCACATGAGAAGATGGCACCATGGATACACCATTGGGACGTCCCTGAAGTTGTTAAGGACAGACTTGCTTTGATCTGTCTACACTCTCTCCACGGGCCCCTCTGCCAGGGGCACGCATCCTTAGAGAAGACGTCCTATAACAAACGGACACTCACACCTGACAAACTTGAACGGATGAAAATAACAAAACAGAGTACCTGAAATTCTAACTGTCCCAGAAAACACGGGAACAGAGCCCGTAAGAAAGTTCTGCCTGGGGGGTGGGGGGGTGCCTGGGTGGCTCAGTCGATTGAGCGTCCAACTTCAGCTCAGGTCATGATCTCGCGGTTCGTGAGTTTAAGCCCCACGTCAGGCTCTGTGCTGACAGCTCAGAGCCTGGAGCCTGCTTTGGATTCTGTGTCTCCCTCTCTCTGCCCCTTCCCTGCTCACGCTCTGTGTGTCTCTCTCCTTCAAAAAAAAAAAAAAAAAAAATTTAAAAAATTAAAAAAAAAAAAAAAAGAAAGAAAGAAAGAAAGAAACAAATTTCGGCCTGGGGTCTTGGCCTCATGAGCACCGATCCTGAGCAGCCAAAAGGAGCAAATCTTGGCGCCTTCTTCTTCATCTTGCCCGGTTCCTACTGCACCAGTCAAGAATGGCCCAGATTTACTATCAGGATAATAAAAAGAGCAAAATAATCATTATAGCATGCGTTTATTTTATAATCATTTGAAAATGCATCAACCACAACACGGTTGTGTTGTTAATATGAAGAAAGGTGAATATGAAGTCCTACGGTAAAGAAACGTAAGACACTATCACTGTATTGACGGGAAAGGGGTGTCGTCCAGACAACTTTCTATTTCCAAAGTTTAAGTATTGCTCTGTCACGTGGACTTGAAATGTCACAGGCTGTGCCTGCTGCCACCAGTTTGGATGTGCCACAGGGGGGCTGGCCTTTGACAGCATAATCCAAGCAGCACGAAGAAAACCAAGTGCTGAGTCAATAGAAACTCATTGTGGTGTTGTGTGTTGTGGTGGTCACACTGGGTGGCTCATTGATACCTCCCTTGGCAACAGTCAGCTGGATTTTTCAGTCTTTCTTCTTTTTCTCTAAGTGACCTCAGCACGAATCATGGAGGGCGGTCTGCATTCAAATGGAGAAACTCTTGATCCTAATGGACAAGATGTCTCTTTAACTCCTCAAAGATGGTTCGACTGGACGTCTGTGGGTCCCACGGAGGGATCCGGGAATGGTTAAAAGAGTTAACAATGGGAAGTGCACACGTGGAGACCACCAACCTGCTGGCAGCATGTGAGCCCAGAGAACGCTCTGGGGTCCCCACCCAGAGTTCCGTGAAGGCCTCGTCTCCTGGCTGTTCATTTCATCCCCTCGGCCAGTCGCCTGC